CTGAATACTTTCCGTACCCACTGTATATATCTGTCATGACAACTCTTGGAGGGATTGGCATGGTAATATACATGAAAATGTTAATGTATTTGGTCTTGGCGGAATAGATCTGCTATGCTGCTGCTGCTGCTGCTGAGAGCAAGTACTGAGTACTACAGAGCAAGTACCGAGACTTGCTACTGCCAATACATCAACAACATGCTGCAGTAAGCATGTAAGAAATACTGCTGCTGCACATATAACACATATGAATAACCCCCATAACATACATGAATCACCCCGTAGCAGATCTATACAGGTGGAGCTGGGGTTTCTGAAGTGCGCTGCAAACTGCTACAGCAAACAAAAGTCAGGTATTTGAATATTGAGCAGTAAGCTCATTGGCTACCGATACAGGAGAGAACCAATCAGCTGCCATGTGACAATGATGTCGCCAGGTCAGATTGAGCTAGACCTATCAGACTCATCTTACAGACGTCTATCAGATGGTTGTACACAGCAGATGCTTTCCAGATGAAGCAATCTTTCACAGACATCCTGCAGACGTACCTGTGATATCTGGGCTGTGTGTTGGTCGAAGACGCACAACGATTTTGCTTCGACTGTGGAACTACTTTCATAAATGTAAGTAGTAAAATGTTCAGTAACTAAATATGTTCCATAATTAATTGTTGCTTAATATTCATTTCTTGTTCTTGTAGCTGTAAAAAAATATCACACTTACAGTCGTGCTGTTTCTAATCAGAGCTATTCAGACAGCACCCTGTTTGTGTGATATTGCTTAAATATGATGAAAAAAAAGCTTTTATTCAAATAAATAAATAAAACAAGTTATGTTCAGGCTGTTTTGCCGTTTTCTGTTTGATATAAGCTTTATCTAATTTTTGGGGCTTTAACCCAGGCTTTCTTACTTTCCAGACACACTGATCAGTGAGGCAAATTACTAGGAATGGCCTACACATAGACCTATCAGACTGCGCCATCTAGGGTTCCATGCTAGAACTCTGTATACACACACAGACACACACACACACACACACACACATTTCAGAAGGAAGCCCATTAAAAGCCCTTGATCACTACATCAAGGTCAAGGTTTAGAAATAAAGAAACTGAGAGTTGTTTTGCTAGCTGTTTGCTTTTATTCTGAGACGTTCCCTCAAGTGAACTAAGCAGGTGGTCATGGCAGCCAGATATGACTGCGTTTACCCGTAATTGTCTGTTCCCAGCCTCGGTAAGTGGGTAGAACCAGGTCTCCAGTTTCTTCCTCTCATCAGGCAGCCACTGAATGGACTTCCGTGCTTGACGGAGCTCGAATAACCTGTGGCAGATTCAGACAGGTGAGAGCCAGGTAACTGCTTCCCTTTTGTGCCTTAAAAGATTGCCGATGCTTGGATAGTGTGTGTGGGGGGGGTGGGGTGGATATGAGATTGAGAGGGGAGTGTAGGCCTTTGATCTTCAGGGGCAGGGAACGGGGCAAATCTTCCAGCGGTCCCTGTAGCTCCAGCCGTATAGGTAACCCAACCCTGTTTTGGCATCCGACTCAGCGAGCAGGTGCCTAGAGGTGGGAACTGTTTGCAGAGCTGTGTTTGGTGACAGCATGTCTAACTTTCAACTTCTCCTTTACTGCCGGCACATTGTTCACAAATCCCTGCTTTTCAGCGTCTGAGCTTTTCAGAATTGCTTGTTCTTTCTGTTTTGCTCTTCAGGAGAAATAGTGAGAGCAGATTCCATTCATTCTGTACAGAAAAGCACAAACCTCACAGTCACACAGCACTGCAAAAATGTGTTCTTAGTATGTTCTTTAGCTAGTTTACCAGTAAAAAGATCTAAATATGATATGTTTAATATGATTTACTTGACTAGTATAGCTGCATAAAAAAACATGTTTAATATAGAATATAATAGAGAATATAAATATATAAATCATAAAATGTAATACTATATAAGCAAAATACGTAAGTCCTAATATGTTTTGCCATTTTGTTTCATGTCTCTTGTTTAAAGGATGTTTAGATATTTTTACTAAAATCAAGACAAATATTGACTATAAAATTATTTTTGCGGTGGAAAAAAATAGGTTTGAATCATGTTTTTACTGATTGAAAAAAAAAATTAGAGAACAAATAAAATGTTACTATTTCACTTGTTTCCTCTATAGAGCAATGAGATTAAATAGAGCAAATGGAGACATATTTAAAAATCATGCTTTAAAAAAAAAAAAAAAGAGAGAGATCAGTCTCACACAAGTTTACAGTCAAAACTCCTCACGACCAAATTATCTGAGCTCACACTCATTTTATAGCTTATTTATTTCTACTTCTATTGAAAGAAATTTTAGGGAGAAAACATTAATAAATGAGAACCTTGTTAAGTCTTCTGAGCTATGACAGAGCATCCTATGAGCAATTAAATTTTCCTCTGGGTACAGGCAATCCTCATGTTTTATTTAATCATTCTCATTCAGCGTCTCTTACCTTACATCACTTCTTGCATGACACGCCTGGAAACTGAACTGTCATAAATTAAACCTCAGAGAGAGGGGAGTATTGCATGTTTGTGGATCTATATTGAGGTTGTCTTCAGGCAAAGCAATTACTGCAATGAGTGTTTGCATGAGAATTGAGCTCTAGATGGTGTTTGGTGTGTGAAAGGTCGACCGATTTGCTGGTGTGTATGTGTGTGTGTGTGTGTGTGGATAATGCAGAGATAATGTGCAGCAATGACTACAGTTCTAATTCTTTTTTTTTTTTTTGAGGGAATGCAACAAAGGCTCCACAGAAAATGGGCTCAGCTGAGGAATTTTAATGAATTAATGGAATTCATTTGAGCCCATTGTGAATGATTCTAAATCAGATGAATGAGCAGCGCTGGAGATCCTCATGCTGGACTGTTGAAAGCATAAAAGCATCAACTACTAGAAAGAGATTTTGAAACAGATGGGATGACTAAGATTAATGCAAAACAACTGAAGCACTCAAAATTAATGTTATCTGATTCTCAGAAAACTGGCCACAGTTTCACAAAAGGAAATTTCCCCCACTAACAATCAAGACCCCCCATGAACATAACAAAAACAAGCTAAAAAATAATAGAATGAAGCTGAACGAGAGAGGATATTGCTTTGGGCTCTATACTACGCAAGATCAATAATTGGAATTTTCCCAGAAACCAATGCCAACATAGTAGAAGATGATCACAATAACAGTAATATTGCATTCTTTCACAATTCACATTGTATAACATCATGTGCACAATAATACAGTCACGGTAAGAGTACTTAAAGAGTTTTACAGACATTTGGAGTCACATCTTGGAGGAAAACTTACACAGCTTCTGGAAATATCCTGGATATTTCCTGAAAGCTTGTATGTTGTGATGCATCTCTACAGAGTTTTTCTGAAATGTTTAGGCAAAATTTAGCTGTTGCCACTGTTAGGGCCCTTGATGGCAATCAATCAGGAGTTCCCATGATCCTTTGAGACATAAACAAATAGTATTTATCACCTAGTCTAGTGAACCGGAAAATTCTATTGTCCACTTTTCCAACTGAAGAAACAGCGCAATTCATCACCGTTCCTTCCACTAGCTAAAGTGAGACCCACCGAACAACCCATGCAAATGTCTCTTGCTCTGTATATTTATGCCTCTTGCGGTAAAGAGACACCCTGCTGTACAAGCTAGGACAGCAAAGTAGTAAATCTGTAGTTTGTTTGGCTGAGCATAGGGTTGAGGGGAGCCCGCAGCTTAACTCAATTATTGTTGTTCGGGTTATAAAACACCATGTAAGCGTTGCTCTGAGAGAAATGGAGCGAAACGATATTCGCATATGATTTATACGAGGAGCAACAGCAGGAAAAGCGGCCGGTGCTTGACAGCTAAATTTGCGTTGCAGGATCTAGGGGAACTTTCCATGAAAGTCTGGATTGCAGTAGTTGAAGAAAAGTAATTATGAGGGAAGGATTGTGGTACATCTAAAGGTATGATGGGAAGGCATAGTGAAACTGAGATCTTCGTTCTGTCCGTCTCTAACGTATACATTCCCCCCTCTCAAAGTTTGGCTCCCCTGCTTTCTTCCAACCATTCCCTCCAGCTGCCTGAGGCAGAAAGAGCGCACTAGAGAAAGTAGGAGGAGTGCTGTGCCAGACAGCTCCGCCCTCCAAAAGCTCCGGCCAATCAGAGGAGCGCTGCAAGCTTCCACTACAATAGGTGAATGTCTCCTAAGTGAGATGAGACGAGTGAGAGAGAGAGAAGACCTGTGTAAGCCCCTGACTGACTCATTCACCCATGGGAGTTTGAAGTGACAGAATAAATCTACAGAGACGAGGCTCAAGATAACATTTCAGAGAGCTGAGAGCGGACAGACACATACACACAAATAGAGCTACAGCTGAGTGAGACTGCAGAGAGACAGACAGATAAACAGCTCACCCACAGAAAGACAAGAGTTGGAGTCATTGTCATGTTGGTGGTGCTACTGATCCTGCATGCCGTCTCGTGTGCCCATTCTCACGGGCCGCCGGGTGCCGCTGTGCCTGGTAAGCAGTGCCCATCTGCATGCCAGTGTGAGGAGGATGGCATCCTACTACTCGTGGACTGCTCTGAACAAGGACTATCCAGTGTGCCAACTGACCTGAGTCCTTTGACATCTTACCTGTGAGTACGACCTCCTGCTTCGATCACCTGCTTTGCTGAGACAGTGAGGGGTTGTGAATAGTACTTGAGGGATGTTTGGTTTGATTACATTAAATATCTTCAAAAGGATGCTGTGGGATTATGATTTTATTCGCAAATCAAAGAAATGAAAGACTCTAGGTTAATAACAGACTCTGTCATCTAAGATCAGTGGTTCTCAACTGGATTTGCTTCAGGACTCAGAGTTTACTTTGGACTATTCAGAGGTTAACAAAACCAGAATATTAGATTATTATTATTATTTTATTATTACCATAAGCTACAAACACATGCAAAGTTATTAACAAGAAATAGGCTGACAATTTTGGCTTCTAAACATCACAGGAATCTGTGGTTTCATGCTCTCAGCAGTTGCACAAAACACATTTTGGTCTTCATAAATCATATTTATGCTCAAGTGCACCTGTATTCAATGTAGTCTCTGGCATGTTTTCTTTTATCTTGAGATTTTCTTTGTGGTTTATTAGGATGAGTGCAAGTCAGGCTACCTGACATTTGTCTGATTTGACTGTTTTTACTAAGTGACAGATGAATTTGTGCTAAAATGGCATTGTTTAATTGAGCGCATGACCTTCATGTCAACGAGAACCATATGGGTAGTGATTTTCTCCTCTGTTTCATCTTATATTTCAAATTATCATTATTATTTAACTTACTTATTCTATCCCGATTATGATTATGAGATGAGATGCATTATATTATTAAGGCTTAGCATTATTTTTTTCCCTGTGACCTTTCATTTCTGATCCCATTTGCAGATCGTGACCCACCAGTTTAGGATGTATGACATACATGTGATCCAACTTGAGTGATCAGTGCTCCACTCTGCTCACATTAGCGAAACTATGTTGACCCAAACGGGACACTTTCAGTGCGAGCGAACCATACAGCGCGTGCCCGTTCGTTACGAAACGTGAAAAGCAATGCTTGGTTCCCATGTGTCCTGTGACAGTTCTCAGTGCAGCGGTATCTGATGGGAACGTGTGTGTAGAGTGATGCAGTGGGGCGCTCCGTACAGTATTGGGTTTCTCCATGTCAGCTGGAAGCCTGTTGGGTTTAAGTCCATGCTAATCGCTAAGGCATGCCATATGTCCCCTGATTGTGAATGATGACGCAAAGGAGGACTCAAATGTTCGCTCATAAAACGTTGTGCAGCTCACGTGAATCAATAACTGGAGAGAGTTGTGTTTCAGGCTCATGGCTGGGGAATTGGATTGCAAACACATGTACCACAACCTTTCAAACGTATTGAAACATCTTGAGCAGTGTCTCTAGACAGTTGCAAGTGCATAAGATTGGATCTTGCTTTTTTATACCACCAGTGTTGTAGCGAATTTTATTGCATTGTGCAATATATCACATGACTTCATATTTGAAATTCGTGTCCATTTACTACTCATTTTTTTAAAAACGCTTCAGCTAATTTTTTGATAATTGCATAAATATAATGGGGATTTATCATGTCTTAACAAACTTTTAATAGAATCTCACTAGTGAATCATTCTGTTCAATGAATAATCCAGCCAATTCTACTGGTCAAACTGATTCATCCAGGTATTTCAAAAATTTCCATAAAGACTTTTAAGTTTTATGGTGAGTCTGTGCAAATCAGACCAGCAGTCTTTCAAATGCAATGCCTTGTCTAACACTTTCTTTCTTCACCGGAGGAAAGCAGATTGATGTAAATATTGACTGAGCTTTGATGTGCATGCCATTGTTGAGATGTCAAAGTGTGTGTTTAAGCACGACGGGGACCGTTCGGCAAGAAAGCTCTGTTCTTCTGACGCCATTTACTCAAAGTGCTCATTCATCTGCCGTCTTTTTTATGCCAAACTTTTAGACAACTTTGTACGGAATATGCATCTGCTTTCCCGTCCAATTTCTATCGCTTATGCATTGGCCTGTCATTATTATTCCACTTTGAAAAGCTATAACTTTTAATTCCAGTAATGAAAACTCGCCAAACTTTAAATGCATGAAGTGTCTGTGGCATTTGTTGCAACTGTTGCATTTTGACATTTTGCATTGCTGACATTTTAATTATATGATGTATGGTTGCTTAGCAACCAGTGCTTAAATGTGCAATATGTATCATGAACTGATTTTCCAGTGGATCCAAGATATGTTACATTTAAATATGCAAATAAATTAATAACTAATTAATAAATCAATAAATAGGTGTTGAGTTTTTATGGATCAGAAATTAAAATGTAAAACAGTTACTGCTTATTTTTTTCTATGCACATAACAAGCAGATATTATCATCACCATCTTATGCATGGGTCTTGCTTAACATTACATTTAAATAAAATAGTTCATAGAATGAAAATTATAGCACAAGTGGGAGCTGTGTGAACATGCTACTGAGAAAGCAGCCAGCAGCGCTGGACATTCTGCAAGTATTAAATGCCTGTCCTGTCTCGCTCTGCAGCGATCGCCCATATGGGACAACAGGTGCCCTGGGGCGCGGAAAAAGTCTGTCACCAAGAGAGTCTGTTTTTGCACTGATTTTTGTTTGTTTCTGTTGGTTTCAACAGGAGTGGACGTTAGGTACATCAGAAGAGGAAAAGTTAGAGATTGCTGTTTTGTACACTAACATGAATAACACATTCCTAAACACACTGATTGTTGATTGATTTATATTTGTAGATACGGAAGATCTAAAAAGCTTGGAAATGAAGTCTTCGCACAAACATTTCACTGTGTTGTTGCATTGAGAAGCAGCAGCACATCAAGTATATTTTGATTGCATATGATCACAGTAAATCCATATGCTGATATATACAATCATGGCCAAAAATTTGCGAACACCATATATCTTGACCCATATGCTGTTTTGAACCTGTTGTTCAATAGTTAATTTATTCAACCTCATATCCTTTTCAAACCGGTATGACTTTCTTTCTTCTGCGGATCATAAAAGAAGATGTTTTAAAGAATGTTTTAAAGTTTTAATGTTTTTGTCCATTCAATGAAAGTCAATGGGGCCTAAAACAACATGGGTCACACTGACTTTCATTAAATGGACAATTTAAACATTTTTCAAAATTGTCTACATTTCTGTTTCAGTACAGTTCAGGAGATGAAAAAGGCATACTAGCACTATACAATATGTACCATAGTTAACAATATTTAGTATATTCAGTTTTTGTAAAAAAAAATGCTACTACTACTACTAATAGTAATGTAATAAATCTTCAAGTACATAGTTTAAGCTAATAACAGTATATTATAATCACATCTATGACAGCTGGTTCATGTATTTTAGGAAAGTATGGGGTACTGAACTGTGTTTGAAGGCATTATTTGGGAAACCCAACATTTAAATAAATATGATAAAGATAAAAACCTTTTCAATTCAAAGGAAACACTGAAAATATCTTTTTATCACTGTACTGAAACCAGTTAACATCAGGTTAGCTCAGCTGAAGATGAGTACAAGCATCGACCAGCTAAAGCATCATCACACAACCAGCTCAAACCTCAAAGCTGTCAGCCCATTCCCTGAAGCCAAGGCCCATATATTTTCATCTCTCTCAGGGCAATTTTCTACACAAACACAAATTAATGCTGAGCTCGAGCTGAGGGCTGCAGACACATGTTTTTGCTTACTGGCCCGCCTCAACTTCCAGTGCTTTGGCCTTGAAACCTTTTAGAGTCAGAAACAAGAACAGAGCGAGTGTGTGAAAGATGCCTTCAAGTTCTGAAGTGTGTTGTGTTATCTGATTTGAGGGCCATATATCTATTTGTGGCCCTTTTGTCCAGTGATTTATATTTTAAGATTTCAAACAGGAAGAGTTAACACCTAAATCACGATGTAATACATATTACAAACAGCTGCAACACATTTTATGTACACTTATCAATTGTCACATAACCATGAAACTCATTTTAGTTTAGTTCAATCAATATTAAATGCTGTTCGCAACCCATTTTACGTCCGTAATCTAACATATTTATGAATAAATACATGTATGAAAAAAATAAATAAATAAATTAGTCAGGACTTTATCCAAAAGAAAAAATGAAAACGGAACAAGCTATATACATATGTAACCCCTCTCCCCCGGGTCACCGCCACACCTCGTTCTTGTTCCGAGTGAGTCTCGAACCTGGGTTTCCGGCATGGGAGCCGGATGCACTAACAAGGAGGCTAAAGACTGCGATGAGGTTTTACCTGCACAGCACCTACTCGTTGGACTCCGTTACACTCACCCCCCTAAGCCTCACTCCCATCCGGGTCATGGCACCAATGAAATCCCTCTGTCCCGGGTCCTCACCGCCACACCTCGTTCTTGTTCCGAGTGGGTCTCAAACCCGGGTCTCCGGCATGGGAGGCGGACGCACTAACAAGGAGTCTAAAGACTGCGATGAGGTTTTATCTGCACAGCACCTACTCGCTGGCCTCCGTTACACATACACATATATAGTTATTGCCTATTATTGGGACACAACAGTAGAGAATTTACAGGAAGCAAAGTGGGAGACAGAAGGGGGCAGAATCAGGAAATTACCACAAGATTTGAACATGGGTCGCCAAAAGCGTTGTCTACGAAGCTATTGACTCCAACTATAATTTGATAAAAGACTGCATAGTCTTTATTTATTTTTTCAGTTTTGATTTCATACTGACTAAGTGCTGTTGACAAAACAGATGTTAAAAGTATGTTTCATTTTTGGAGTCGTAGTACCTAGTAGTTAGCGCACACAAGTTGCTACATGGTTCTCATACTGAGAAGAGAAGTTTGAATTGGGTTCACATCCTTTCCCGATCTCTTTCCCGTCGCTTTGTTGCATCATTTCCTGTCCTCTCTCTTTGCTGTAAAAGAAAATCGTAAAAACATTAGTGAAAAGTTTAGGAGAAGGCCTTCTCAGGATCAGGGCTCAGATCTTCAGGGTTGTTTACGCACTTTTGAATCCTACTCTGGCAGCCTACATCATTAAACGGCTCCAAGGGCTCT